AACGATGTGTCTTTAACGACTTAACAGCCGCATCTGGCTTTTAGGGATGATAAGAAGGATGTTGGTGTGTTGAAACACAGAATCTCTGGATCAGTGAGTTTGAAAGTAAGAATAACATTCCTATTCTAAGTGACTTATCAAAACCCGTTTGTGATTACATAAAACAGTTCAAACAATACATGTTTACTTCAATACAGTGTAGAATCATATCTTTTTACTTCATTGGCCAGAAGACATTATCAAAGATGTTCTATTGAGAAGACGATCACTACGTGACAAAAGTTTTCAAAACCGTTTCTAGTCTTCGGTATTCTTGTTTTTGACGTGAGAATAGTTTGGGCAGCGTGAGAGCGTGAGATTGAGAGTGAAAGCGTGTGTCACACGCCAGATGCGTGAGAGTTGGCAACCCTGATTTAGAGAGGTTTTGTTTGTTCGTTTCAGTAATTAGCCGTGTCCCGGCTCTGTTCGGCTAAATATTGAAGCTAAATTAACGTGTTTCGGTAAGGTGGTGTGTGTTAGTCGTGTCTTGGCTCTCTGTTCGGTCAAATATTAAAGCTACATTTGCGTGTTTCGTAGAGTTTATGTGTGTGTGTGTTCCTGCCAGTAATTAGCCGTGTCCCGGCTCGCTGTACGGCTAAATATTGAAGCTAAATTAGCTCGTTTCGGAGAGGTTGTGTGTGTTCCTGCCAGTAATTAGCCGTGTCCCGGCTCTCTGTTCGGCTAAGAATTGTAGCTTGTTAGCCCCTGCTATGTTCTAGTAGCTGGGCCATGGCTTTGAAATTGAAGTCATTTGTGGATAAGTATAGGGGACTTGAAGATTGTTTTTTGTTAAGGCCGAGCAAGTGTTAAAGTGATTCTATCCTTGCAACGTTTTTCTGGTTCAGCTCACGCTAAACCTGCCCAGATACAGAGTGGGTGCCTCGCGCCATAGAGGCTTCCTAATGACGTCACGGGATTTCGCGTCAGACATCTTGGAGTACCACTCTACTGGCGGGAGCGTTCAAAAATGGCGAAAATGAAAGGCTACTACGAATCACTAAACCCAGAGGATAAGACCGTTTACAGAGAAAAATGTGCGTTGATTGGTTCGGTGGACCCTTATTTGATTCCCGTTAAGGATTACAGCACTGATATAAATTCATGGCCTTCACTTTCCTACTGTGATATCGTGAACTACCTGGTTTTTTCGCCTATTCCATTGTACACCATGGAGGAAATGAAAGCGTACAAAGGACTTGAGGCACATAACCAGTTCACATCCGGGTGGATCCGCCACGTTTGCGTTGCATATCAAGGAGATGTGGCTGTAATAGCTGGAAAAGTGAGTAAATATTTCGTGAGGGCCTCTTCAGCTGGCTTTTTAAATATCCCTAAAGTCCCCCAAAATAAAATGGGTGAGGCTGCTTTTATCCACTACGCTACCAAGAAATATCAGAGGCCAACTCAATGGACATTTTTAAACACCAGCTTTTATTTTTGTTGTACCTATATCTATATGTTTACTTTATTTTATAGGGTTTTATATTGTTGCATCAATTAACTTAGTCTTGTGTCTTATTATTTATTTTTATTATCATACCTTTTACCTCCTCGTGTCTCTTAACCTGTTAAAATGTTATATGTTGTTGCTATGCTGCATGTACCTGTAAAGGTCTTAACATCTGATCTGAGGGGAATTTCTTGTGGTTTATTTTTAACTTGTGATGTGTGCCATTTTGTAAAGCACTTTGAGCTACACGTGCTTTATGAAAAGGGCTTTATAAATAAAGCTTTATTATATATTGCAATATATTTAAATTACAAAAGTTGTGAACCTATTCTTGGTTGTCAGCTTCTGTTATGTGCTACCTAGCATAGGAATATGACAAGAGCTGACCACCCACTGGTTGTGTAAACAATCAGTATTTTAAAGTAAAGTTAGACCAAAATATTGGTGGTTCTAAAAAGTCAACAATCCAATAATATTTTTGTATTTTATTTTTCAGGTATTGCATTTTCAGAGTATTGGGCTGCCGCCAACATGTCCGTGGGTACTGATGAAGAAGGATGGTGCAGTCATCACAGCTAACTGCAACTGCAAGGCTGGTTTGGGATCAACATGTACCCATGTTGCATCTCTCCTTTTCTACATAGAAACATCTATACGGATACGTGATGCCTAGACAGTTACCCAGGAAAAGGCGTATTGGCTTCTACCTGGATCAGTGAAGGATGTAACACCTTCCCCTGTTGCTGACATTGACTTTACTTCGGCTAAAACCCGAAGGAATAGTTTAAGCCAAGCAATTGACAGCCTTGGCGATGCAGCTAATTTAACAACAACAACACCACTTTTACATCACTCGAGGGAGATTCCAAAAGCGACAGATGCTGAGCAACAGTCTTTCCTGGCATCACTGAAATCTACTGGAAGGAAGTGTGCAATATTGACAATCTCAGCTCCACACAATGCCGATTTTGTCCCAAAAGTGACTTTGTCAACATTTCCTAAGCCGCTTTCTAGTTTAAAAAGTGAGAACTGCCTAGAAATGGACCATAAAGCCCTTACAGAACATTGCCAAGGGATCAATGTAGCTATCACCAAGCCGGAGGCGGATGTAATTGAGAAGGCCACAAAAACACAGGCCAAATCCAAACTCTGGTATCGATACAGAGCTGGGCGGATTACAGCATCTCGTATGAAGGCAGCATGTTCAACAAGTGCAACTAAACCATCGCTTAGCTTGATCAAAGCTATTTGAAGCCACAAAATGTAAAACTGCAGCTACTGAATGGGGATGTAATCACGAGAAATCAGCACGTGAAGATTACATTACAATTATGAATCGACATGACGGTTTCATTTGCCATGACTCTGGGCTTGTGTTATCGCCAACATTTCCATATTTAGGTGCTACTCCAGATGGTGTTGTGTCCTGCAAGTGCTGTGGTGTAGGTGTTTTGGAAATTAAATGCCCCTACTGTGTTGCTGCACCGTCAGACCATACATGTCTGGAATCACGTGATGGACAGGACAGGCTGAAGAAGACTCATGCCTATTTCTATCAAGTGCAGACCCAGTTATTTATATGTGATGTTGAATATGCTGACTTTGTTCTGTGGGTGAATGGAAAGATTCATCTTGAACGCATAACCCCAGATATTGACTTTTGGGAGAAGGTATACCCCAAAGCTCATGAATTCTTTCAGAAGGTCATTCTCCTCGAGTTGAGTGGGCAATTCTTCACCAGAATTTCCAGTGCAACTACACCAGTCTCCATTAGTGCACCAAAAAGGCCTCTCTGCCTGATACCAGACCCTGCTCTATGTGCCACTCTGACTCAGCCAACCAATACCCAACCACTGATACCCAAGTGGTGCCTTTGTCGTGGAGAGGAAAAGCTTCCCATGATAGGATGTGATAACACAAATTGTGAAACTACCTGGTTTCATTTTGAATGTGTTGGTATAACAGTTGCCCCCAAAGGAAGCTGGGATTGTGACAAATGTCATCAGCATGTCCCCTCTCAAAAGAAACAGAAGTACTAATCAATCTGAATGACAGTGTATATATTTATTTGATTAAACATGTTTCTTTTACATCAAATCTATATAAAGAACATGTAAGTGTAACAATCAAAAAAAGTTGTGCACACTAAAATGACACAAAGCATCATTATTTAAACTGACATTGAAAGAGCAAAACCTCAGCTCAAATATCCAAAACTCTAAACACATGTTCAGCTCTGCACCCAATTTGCAATTCAACTTTCCACTTTTTGAAAAGTAAAAGTATAACAACAGTATATTTGTGTTTCTGCACATATTTTGGAGACTTGAACAATCTTTATTTGCAGAATTCTCAAAAAATGTGTTTTAGCATTGAAAAAAACTGTAATATGGACACAATGTTAATCTATCTCTGTTATGTGAGGTGATCTCTGCAGCTTACAGTTAAAGGAGCATGTACTTGTTTTTCACCCTTTTTCAATGGGTAAATTGGAAACCTGTAATAAATATAATACTTTGCCCTTTCAATAGTTTTTTTCAAAATGTATTTACCCAAGCTTAAATATTCTACCAGTAATATTACAGTGTGCAGTGCAGGTCTGAAACCACATTCAAGCATTTTGGGATGTGTCCAATCTGACAATAGAAAACTTGAGAGAAAAACATTAATCTTCCATGCCTGAAAACAGCTTAAATAATTTTTCAAACATTCCCCTACACAACCAAACCCCAAATCACTGCTCTGATTATCAAGACATTTAATTGACCAAGTACAACATTGACAATAATGTAATACTAATTACAATACAAACATGTAATATTTTTAAATCTGATATGGGTTGATTGGGGTGTAACAGAATGTAAAGGCTCAATCAACGGGTATTACAGTGTCACACAAATTATTCAGGTCGCAGCACACTTCAGCTATTTTATCCATCAATGTAATCCCATCTACATCTTTAGAAAGTAAAACATCTATAGGAATTGGTCCTCCCAAAATGGTATATCGCTGCCTTACACATCCTATGACACGCTCAACATGAATTCGCACGTTAGCAATTTTCCTTGTGTCAATAACATCTTTCATTGATAATTGTTTCCGGCCTTTCATGAATGCAGGCACCTTACCCTCAGCACACATGAAACCCACTGAGTCACTTATATTGAAACCTCGGTCTGCCAAAATCAAATCACCAGGCAAAATGTTATCTAAGAAGCCACAATTTTCTGTAATATGCTTATCACTGGACCTGCCACCCCATGCCCTTGAAATGAATGATATAACACCCTGCGGACAGATTCCTATCAGAAATGTTATGGTGTTGTGATGTTTGTAGTTTGACCAAGTCTGAGCCCGTGCCATTACATTTGATGGCCTGTCAATGAAAACTTCAAAGCAGTCTATTATAACAGCCACTTTAGTACCAAAATGAGTGCGGAAATCCATATGCATTGTCATTTGGAGTTCCTCTCGAGATGGCCACTTCAAAAGGAAACTCATACGTTTAAACATGACGTCGATAATCAAGGTAAACACACGGCATACTGTAGACGTGGATGTGTTAAATTTATAAGCCAGTTCTTGCAGGGGTTGGTTTAATCTTAATTTCATTAGTGTCAGTATAAACTGTTGAAATTTAGACAGTGAACTCTTAGCGTTCACACTGATGTGCAGTTCCACAAGATTGTATACCATCATTAGAATAGCAAAAGTAGGAAGTCCCGTGTAGAACCGCACACGGTCATCATCGCCCTTAAATGTACTCTCTGAAATGGTGGACTTTACAAGCTTTTCTTTCAAGTTAACATTTTCTGTTGTTACATTATTAATTTCAAATGACATTTTGTCAATCATTTCACCAGTCAAATCAGTCTGAGTTGCAGTGCCAGTCTCTGGTTCAATCAGTCCTTCTTCTTCCCCAGTGGCTCCCAGGACTGGTGCAGGCTCTTCTAGAGATGGTATATCAGATACCATGCTGTAGAGATCAAGAAGTGCGATGGATTACCTTTTTCTGGCGCGTTTATACCTGGCATGTGTAGCAGGGGAAGGTGCTGTAATTTTCTCGTGGCCCAATTTGACAGACGGTGCCCAGTCAGGATGATTTTTGTCAAAAAGTGCCACTGGTTTACCTGCAAATAAATCAGATTGTAGGTCAGTTATATTCTGGGTGAACTGTTAATTAATACAAATTTGACCTCTTTTGACAAGCGAAGTCAGACTTTAGATATATTTAAAATGCTGGTGTCAAGACATAGGAACCAGAGCCGTATAATAGAAGAGTTACGACATCTCCGTTCACTCCAATGGACCAGTTTTTTTACAGCAATGGCGGATCGTGGAGCCGTCAATAGTTCCCCGGAAGTTAGCTTGCCGCTTACTTCCGGGGAACTATTGCGGCCAGCAACACAGTAGAGTTGCAGCATAATAGACCGTTCGTGATGGACTTTTAAAGGTAAGAAGACGTTTAAAGATTTATATTGCGGATATTATCAGCACATCTGAGTCAAATGAACATGTGTATTAAAGGATGTGAGTGGATTATCCCTAAATCAGTAGATTTAGGGAACGTTTACAGATAACAGATTAGGCTAGGATACCGGATAAAGTTAGCAACACACGTTAACCATGAACAGCTATTAATCCGTTCTCCTAATGTTATTTCATCCAACGTTGTGGAATTAGAGAAAAAGGGCTTCTAAACGTGATTTTTTTGTGGGGTGGAGGAATATAATATTAGTTAAATATAACATTGGGGCACGTGTGATTGTAATGAGTGGAGGTGGAGAAATCACGATCTCCATTTTGGAGTAGACCTACAAGCTAGTATAATAAAGTTAACGTTACACAATAATAAGGAAGAGAGCTATTTGATATTAATTTAGAGTGCATATTTGAGACTTCCAAACAGTAAACATAAACGTAATTTATGGGTGAGTGTTATACGCACAACAGCTTCTGGATGCAGCGAGCCGCTGGCTCCAGCCGGGGGTGCGCTCGGCGGAGGAAGTCGTCGGGCAGGTGGCGCTGGAGCAGTTAATCGCCGGCCTGCCATCTTCAACGGCGAATTGGGTCCAGTGCCATCGCCCCGCCAACCTGGAAGCAGCCATCGTCCTCGCGGAGGACCACCTCTCGCTTCCCCGGCAGAGCATGAAAGAGGAGCCCCGACCACCGGCCGTCTCAGCGGGCAGACCCATCCCAGCCCCGAGGAGGAGATTTCCTGGAGCAGCTGCCCTTCCTCCACCACCACCACACGGCCCCAACCCCGCAGCCCCGACACTTCCCCCGCAAGCCCTACCTTACCCTCCTGTTTTTATCTCTCCCCAGGGTCCGGCCTACGCTTCTGGTCGTCCGGCACCACGGGGGACTCCTCAGACGCCAGGGCTGGATTGCTGGCGGTGCGGGCAGCCCGGCCACGTCCGACTGGAGTGTCCTCTCATGGAGGTCGGACAGCTGGTCCGGGTTGCAGGACCGCCAGTTGCCTCCCCCGATTTGGAAGGGACGTACCGTATACCGGTATGTATACAGGGGGGTACACACCAGGCTCTGATGGACACGGGCTGTAATCAGACGATGATCCATCAGCGCTTGGTTCGGCCTGGGGCATTGATTGAAGCATCGTGGGTGAAGGTGAGGTGTGTGCATGGGGATATTCACCAGTACCCGGAGGTGACGCTGGAAATTTCTTATAAGGGAAAAAAGCATAGAGTCAGGGCTGGAGTTAGCACTCGCCTTACGCACCCTCTGATTTTGGGAACGAATTGGCCGGGGTTTGCTAAGCTAGCGGGGGCTATGGGGGTGCGTTCACGGATGGCAGGGAAATGTGAGTTGTGTGCTGTGTTTAGTGGAGAGTCGGAGGCGGCTGACGACGTTGAGGGGGAAACGGACACGGAGGGGGCCGCGGAGGTCCCTCTGGCCCCGCTGGTGTTTCCCTTGGAGGATTTCCCCCTCGAACAGTCGAGGGACGAGACCCTTCAGCACGCCTTTGACCAGGTGGTGAGTATTGATGGCTCCCAGCTACACCCAAACGCAGCACTCACTCACCCACACTTCACGGTGGTTAGGGACAGGCTGTATCGTGTGAGCCGTGACACACAGACAGGAGATATAAATACCCAGTTGTTGGTGCCAAAAAGCCGGTGGTGTGCATCTTGCCGTGAATGTCAGCTGGTTAACCCGCCGGCCACCCCCAGGGCGCCTTTGCGCCCGTTACCATTGATTGAGGTGCCTTTTGAGAGAGTTGGTATGGACCTCATCGGGCCATTAGACCGGAGTGCACGGGGATATCGCTTTGTACTGGTCCTAGTGGATTATGCAACGCGATATCCCGAGGCAGTGCCGCTGCGTAATATCTCTGCAAAGAGCGTCGCGCAGGCACTGTTTCACATTATCTCCCGAGTCGGGATCCCCGAAAGAGATCCTGACTGACCAGGGCACACAGTTTATGTCACGCACACTACGCGAGCTGTATGAACTATTGGGCGTCCATTCAATACGGACTAGTGTTTACCATCCTCAGGCCGACGGCCTGGTGGAACGGTTTAATAAAACACTAAAGAACAAGGTTCGTAAGTTCGTTCACGAAGATAGTCGTAATTGGGATAAACTGTTATTTGCAGTGCGGGAGGTGCCCCAGTCCTCCACGGGATTTTCTCCCTTTGAGCTCTTATTTGGCAGGAAGCCCCGGGGTGTTTTGGACCTAGTTAAGGAAAACTGGGAGGAGGGTCCAAGCATCAGTAAAAACGAAATACAGTACGTTATGGACCTGCGAGCAAAACTCCACTCACTGGGGCAGATATCACGGGAGAATTTGCTCCAGGCTCAGGAACGTCAGCAACCACCCGTATGGTTTATACCAATTTATCACACTTCCTTTCGGGTTGTTCAGAGCTCCAGCCACCTTCCAGCGGCTCATGGACCGGGTGCTGCGTCCCCACTCTGCATATGCTGCTGCTTACTTGGATGATGTCATCATTCACAGTGAGACATGGGAGCAGCATATGCAGCAGGTGGGGGCAGTGCTCGAGTCCCTGAGGCAGGCGGGGCTCACGGCCAACCCGAAGAAGTGTGCGGTTGGACGGAGGGAGGTACGGTATCTGGGGTACCACTTGGGCGGCGGGCAAGTGCGGCCACAGATAGAGAAAACAACCGCCATTTCAGCCTGTCTGGCGCCCAAGACGAAAAAAGAGGTCAGGAGGTTCATGGGGCTGGCCGGCTACTACAGGCGGTTCATCCCGTCCTTTTCGGAGCTGACCAGTCCCCTGACCGACCTGACCCGAAAGGGTGCTTCAGATCCGGTCCAGTGGACGGAGCGGTGTCAGCTGGCGTTTGAGAGGGTTAAAAAAGCCCTCTGTGGTAAGCCGCTTCTGTATTCTCCTGACTTCTCTCTCCCTTTTGTGTTGCAGACTGAAGTAAAAAGATATGATTCTACACTGTATTGAAGTAAACATGTATTATTTTGAATTGTATTTTAGTGAACATGTATTGTTTGAACTGTTGAACGGGTTTGGGTAATCACTTTATAATAGGAATGTTATTCTCACTTTTAAACTCACTGACCCAGAGATCCTGTGTCATACACACACACTGTCCCCTTCACCTTCACACACAGATGTTGTTTTTAAAGTCGTTAAAGACCTCATTAAATGTATGCAGAGGGGTTTGGATGTCTGAGGGGGGATGGTTTATGTGAAGAGCTCTCATGGGAAGGTATGGGAGTGAAGATCCCCACGAAGATAAGGGTTGACTTTTGACCTTGTGAAACTTAGGATCTCACGTTCTGGTCGGAACTCTGATTCGCTGTATTGAACCCGACCAGGAGTGAATCCAACCAGTAAAAACACTTGGGGGATGTGACCAGCTCACACAGCTCCTCCTCACAGACTCTCTCATTCGCTTTGGAATAAAAGGGGAGGGAAGAGTCAACACATCTCCACATCTCCTATGTATACTGTTGTTTTTGAGTGTAAAATGCTTCTGGTTTGTTGAAAGCTGGTGCTAGAAGACGGTAAACCGCATCACAAACCTGGAGTCCATACTTCTCGTTTTCTGAAAGCTGGTCTGTCTACCTGTAAAACCGCATCACCAGCCTGAAGCCCGGAGTACTCGAGTACTCGAGTACTCTGTATAACTTGTATATGTGTTTGGTTTCCTACCAGTAAACTCAGATAATTGTTATAACTTTTGATTCCGGTGTTTTCAATTCCTTTCTTAATTTAATAGAGATCCAGCCTCATCCAACGAACGGCGCGTAGCAGAGGTGTTCTGCTCCAACAAGACCGACGCCTCGAACAGTGGGGTGGGGGCCGTTTTGTCCCAGCAGGTAGAGGGGGTCGACCGCCCCGTACTGTACATTAGCCGTAAGCTCGCCCAGAGGGAGGTGAACTACAGTACAGTGGAAAAGGAGTGCCTCGCCATACGGTGGGCGGTCGGCGCCCTGCGGTACTACCTCCTGGGGCGCCCTTTCACCCTCTGGTCGGACCATGCCCCGCTCCAGTGGCTCCACCGCATTAAGGATGCCAACGCCTGGATCACTCGGTGGTATCTGGCGCTACAGCCTTTCAACTTCAAGGTGATCCACAGGCCGGGTAACCGGATGGTGGTGGCTGATTTCCTCTCTCGCTCGGCGGAGGGGGGGGAGTCAGCTTGCGGCCGGCGGGATCCCGGCCTGAGTCGGGCAGTGGGGGTATGTGGCAGCGGGGTGTGGTTAGGGCGCCGGCTGCTGGTGTGAAGGGAGTGGCTCGGCCGGAGGCCAGACAGCTGATCGGAATCAGGTAATCAGTCACTGAATAAAAGCATGTGGTAACCTGGTTCTAGTCTGTCTTGCAGTAGGCAGGATCCTGGGAGGTCGCCGAAGGACCTGTGAAGGATCCCACACGGGCAACGTTTTGCAACCCGTGTTGTACACTTTGTTTTGGTGCTAATAAACGCCTGTGTTCAACCCAAACCCTGCTCTTTCCGTCCCTCTTTGAACCCTGTGTGAGCGGAGAGGCTCACAGTCATGTTCTCAGTTCTTATTACTTTATTAAGGCCTGCTTCATAATGTACCTAAATGTGTGTTTTCTATTACAGGTACAGATTTTCGAAGATTTCCGTTTTGCTGCAACTGGATGAAGTGGACTTGTAAGTTGTGCAGGTTTTCCAGTTACAATGAGAAGGCAATTGTTAATCATTACAACATCTTGGAGACTGTTTTCTATATGTCTGTGTCTCCTCAGATTCAGGCAGAGTTCCAGAGAATTGTCACTACGGACCTGCTTTCATCGTTTCTGGATGGACTTGATGGCCTGGCCCCAACATTGCTGGAGGTCTACAAAGGTGCATCCAGGACTGGAAAGAAGCCGACATTAAAAGGCCTTTTGGACTGCCTTGAGAAAGATGTAAGTGGAGATGCTGATGACTATAATTTAGCCACCATTTGTTTGCTACAAATGTTTATATCCCACTGCATTTGTTGTCCTGCAGGACACAAATGAGAGGAGGAGGACTGCTGCTCTCTTGGGACTATCGCACTACATGTCTGGCGAAAATCAGGCAAATGTCATCAGGATGTGTGATGTAAGATCATAACTTTCTTTAATTACTTTATGTAATTGTACATTTTAACATAAATCAACCCAAATCACCCTGTGCCCAAAGTTTCCTTCAAAAGTAATGTTTACAATTACCTTAATTTAACTAAAAATAATTGCAATAAAGAATGATACATGTAATATAAACAAAAATAGCAAGAAAATAAATGTTTAACTATTAAATAATATAAATAAATATATAGCTCAAACTGTGAAAAGGGAGACAATTAGGCAATTGAAATTATGTTCCATCACATTGCACTTCTACACTGTGAACTGTAGATTGTAGCTTCTATGTTTATAGCAGAGGCCTCTTAATTAGTTATGTAAAGAAAAAGTACTTGTAGTACACTGAGCTCACTTTTATTTCTCCTTTTTTAAGGCTCATGGAGACACTCTCGAGGAAGCCATGAAGGGGATGCAAGTTGGTCTACTCATAGGCTACGAAGGTGAACGGGACGCCTTTCCTCAGCAGATATTCAATGTGGCAGTTGTGGTCGAGGAGACAATTGTGCTCCACAACCTGAAAGATGTGGCTTGCGGCTTTGCGATGCTTCTTGAACTAATATATTGCTTAAATCTTCAGTATCCTCTGGAAATGAAATATTCATTTGAGTTTCTCCAGAGGGTTGTTATGAAGATACAGCCAGACCAAGCCTCTGCCAAAATACATGGACTAAAAAACAAACTAGGTAGGAGGTAGATCATCAAAGAGTGTAGAAAGTGAGTTCAATTTGGTGTTGTTCATCAATTTGGTGTTGTTCAAGTATTTTGTGCCTCTACAGTGACATGTTTTAAAAATAAATAAAAATGTTTTAGGTTAGTGAGAATTCCATTTATGTTGGAAGTGTCACGAAGAAACTTGCATTTTAAGAGGACATTTAATGTTCATTTCAGTATTTACTAGTGTCTTGAAAGAGTCCTCTCCTCCTGTTCAAAAAGCTCTATTTGTTTCGTACTGTTTGTGCTTCACCCTCTGTCCTATTTGTAAAATGAATAACATAAATTAGATGTTATAATTTGTATATATGTATATCTGTTGTATACTGTATATTTATGTATACTTGAAAAATAAAAATATTTCAGCATCTGAAGTAACTTCAAGCCTTGATCTCCTTTTATATACATTTGGGTGATGTTTAATGTTCTAAGTTCAGTCAGTAAGAAGTTTAAGGAAGTTGGGGAACACTAGTTTACTTAACATGAAAATGTAAGTTCAATTGCTTGAAAACATGAGTCAACATAACTTGAATTTGTCAGTCGGTATAAATATAGTTAGTTATCCTAACTTAGAATTGTGAGTTAAGATAAGGTAGAAGTTAAAGTTGATTTGACTAGATAATGAACATTTCTTGAATCTATAATGTGAAATTGTAAGTTTCTTTAACTCAAAGTATTAAGTTATAACAATGAATGATCATTAGTAAAATAACTTGTATAACTTAACATTGTGAGTTGAAACAAAGTACATTTTTACTTTAAGTCAACTCATATATATGAGGCAGCCCTTGAACTTATGTTTATAAGTTAAAACACCCTATTTATTTTTACAGTGTACCTCTACTTCTTCTCCTTCTTCTTCTTCTTCTTCTTCTACCTCTACTTCTTCTTCTTCTTCTTGTTCTACTTCTAATTCAATGCACCTTCCCGCAAAATATTGGACAAAAGAAAGTCGGCTAGTAATGTCAACTAAATCCATAGTATTACAACAAAAGTGCTTTAAACGAGGTAAATTACGAATGTATGTTCTCAATCACCAAGTACGGGATTGAATATTAAATTAGTTTAGATTAGATTTATTGTCCCCAGGGGGAAATTCATTTTCACAGCTCTGTGAAAACAATATGAAATCGACAAAAAATAAGACAGACATCTACAGATAGCACCACACATGATGGTTACTTGTTATTATTTAGGGCTGCAATGCCTGTATGGATCAGGTTTTTGCCAAAGCGAGCCCTTTTACTATAATAATAATTAAAAAAAAAGACAGATTGTGGAACATTGATTTGATTTTTCTCATGGCAGTTAGATTCTAGAGACAAACCAGGGGACTTTATGTTTAATCTGTGTCTGTCCATTTGGTGTAGTATTTTATCCAATATTACATTTGGTTTATATATTAGTCACTTGCTTATGAAATGCCAGGTTTTAGGCCTTGGTTTGAACATTCAATCCTGGAAATAAAAAATCAACCAGATACATTTTTCTTTAATCCTGATATAGAGTAGATAGGTAAGTAAGTAAATCTGATAGGAAGACGAGTTAAGGGATAGAGGAGAAAAGGTTATGGTATAATTACAGAGCCTGTCAATTTATAAATTGAGGAAATCAATGTTAGTCTGTTAACCAAAGTGCAGCCATCTAATAATGTACTATCTATTGTTAAAGATCAGAGGAAAAGAACAGAATGAGAGGGGTAAATCCGGAATAACAATAAAGAAGCAAAGAGATTGTAGAGCAGTGAGAAGGAAAAAAGCTTGGTGTGTCAATTCATTACATTGCCAGTATTTTTCGTTGTTGTGAAAAAAAAATCGCCCCCTCGGATTTTTTAACAGCCCCCTCAGTCATTTCATCCTGGAGCCGGGCCTGGGGCTGCCACACTGAAGGCTCTGTCCCCGAAGGTTCGCAGGTTTATATTTAAATTAAACAAGTAACAACTCTTTTTATTCCACCACTGGTGTTATTTAATATAGTGTGTGTTTATACTTTGAAAAAAAAATAACTTCTTGGTTTAAATCTCTTTTGTTCTGTGACTAAAAGACAAATGGTCTGCCTCAGTACAGGCCCTGTTTAGAAGCAGCAAAATAACAGAGAATAAGGAGCACATAAAGTGAGCTCTTCAACAGAAACACTTCATAGAGGCAGAGCATGTTGACCAGTGAGCTGTGTGCTGTTCCAGTGAGTTGGCGAAGAGCCGCGGGCTTGTTTGTCCATGGTTCAGATAATCATTGATTTTAACAGCGTACTAAGCAGACACTGAAAAATACACATTTCTCTTTTTGAAAAACATCCGTCCAAAACATGACTGTTCAGAACGAGCTCCACACTCCAGCTGCACTTCCTCGTGAGCAATGCTCCTGCCACCCCCACACGATTTTGAGAGACAATGAGTAGACATGAACATTTTATATATTTTAAGGTAAAATGCATCAATCTGGTGCCCTTTGACAGCCAAGTTAAGAGGTAAGATCTGTAAAGAATGTAATCTTCCCCCCGTTAAACAACTGTGTACTCTATAAACAACTTTATCAGAAACACCTATGTTGTAAAGATATAACAGATAAGTGCACTGATAAAGACACACACTTCACACTTCCAGACATTTAGCCTGCTCACCGTCCACAAAGAATTCTGCACACATCTGTCTGTGTATATTGTTTATACAAAGATTCCCTTATTTATTTCTTCATACCTCGTGAACGACGTTCAAAGTGAAGGGGGAAATTACATTGATTATAGAAATTAGACAATACATTTGACTTAATATGACAACAAGTCCTCCAACTCATACGACCAAATAGGTCGATTGTTCAAGCCCTTATTACGACCAAATAGGTCGATTGTTCAAGCGCTTATTACGACCTATAATCACGTTTTAAAGTTTTTGACCTCTAGTGCTCCCGTTGACTGCAAACGCTCCGAAGGGTCGTATATTCACAAATAACACTCTCTGGAAAATCCTGAATTGTAGGATAGTTTGTCCATTAAAATGCTTTTTGATTAGATTTCTAGCGAGAAGTGTATATTGTACTTTTAGAATCCACGTCCAGTGGATGTGTAGGATCTATAGTTTGATAGATATTACGAAGATGATTTGAGGTCTCGCCAGGAGAACGTGTAAATACTACGTCTTTCTGCAGCGTTACCTTCGTTACACAAGGGGACGCAACTTGTCCACGACCCCGAGAAACGAGCACGGGTTAATGTAAAGCTGACGCCTGAAGCCACAAGCCATCTTATGCTAGTAGCCTAAGTTAGAAATCTATTCCAGCAGCTAATAAAGCTGTATAATTTGGCCACTCTATAATAGTTTAGATTCCATCAAAAACGCTGAATACAGTACATAGAGACAGTAAGACTCCTTCTGTTTTAGTTGGGTGGTAGAATATCAAATGAGACACTTTTCTTTTCTTTAGCAGTTTGACTAGCAACAACAACCAACTAACTATAAAGCAAGCAGCATATTTAACATAAACATGATGAAACTGAATCTCATAAAATACCTAAACTCAGATGACTGTACAGAAAAAAAGACAAAAGATAGGAAAGAAAAAAGGCTTCTGAGTCCCTCCGGTCAGGCTCTGCTGGCTCTGGCCATACTCTGGTCACATGACCGATACTGGGGAATGTGAAGGGCAGAGAGGTTGCCAGGCACCTGAAGTCAGAAAGAGAAAGCCACCCCCCTCCCCTCCTGAAAATAACACAGGCCCCCTGTGTTCACTCACTGGGAACGGAAACTCCCTGAGATTTCTTACCTGCAAACGGCAAGTTATCTCAATCCAAATCTAAACCACGGCAACATTCTTTCTGAATCAAAGTTTTAGAACCATAATGAGTTCTTCTGTTCCTGAGCAGGAACTATGTTCTACCAAAGTCTATAAAATATTTCCTAAACCGAGGTTTTTTGGGAGGCACATCCCTTGATATAACATGAAAATGTTTGTCTGTGACTTATCAGTGTCTTTATGCTTAAAATGTATGTTCGTTTATTTATTTGTGTGGTTTCTTAGAGAGCTCGGTCTTAATGTGACCCAAAAAAATCAATCACTATTTAGTTTTTAGTTTTTGTTTAACCATTACCCCACCCCCCAGAAAAACCTTGGCTTCATGGCCATCATTAACAAATGAAGCTGAATTACTCAGGTCTTCCTGCTTCCTTCTAAAAAAGCTTAATTATTTTTCGAATGGATTTCTTTTTCCTGACTATGTGTGTGATGTTTTTTTATCATTGTACAGCTTGTAACATAACATTCATTGTAAATTATATAAATTATCCAGTGAAACAAAGCAAAGAGAACCTAGGATTAGCCGACATAATAACACACACACACACACACACACACACACACACACACACACACACACACACACACACACACACACACACACACACACACACACACACACACACACACACACACACACACACAGAGGTTGTGTGACTAGATTCACCTCTGAGGGACACAGGTAACATTACGGCAAGTTTAAGAATTGTGCCATTTTTTGTTTTTGTCTACCCATGTCATGTTTAGTTTGAAAGTTATCCGGGTTACGCTATATGCATATTGGCCTTGGCTTGGCTGAGGTCCTGTCAACAGGTGGAGGTAACACGCTAAGAGATACTGCAATGTGCCGGCAAAAACAAGTGAGGATACTGTTTTGCTTAATGCTTTAAAGAGTTTTAAGACAAATAAAATGCAGCAATAGGTGTGAGTCCTATTACATCATTGAATATCTTTGATCATAAATATTGTTGTACTGGCAGTGTGTGTGTGTGTGTGTGTGTGTGTGTGTGTGTGTGTGTGTGTGTGTGTGTGTGTGTGTGTGTGTGTGTGTGTGTGTGTGTGTGTGTGTGTGTGTGTGTGGGTCAAACACCCACATGTAAATTCCTGGGTGAGGCACTTATGAGCAAATGTTCCTGCAGATAAAGTTCCCAGTTAGATGAAGAGGACAGATTCTCCCTCACATTCCAGCGGTGCTTCTTGCTGAGTAGAGATAAGAAACTCTCCCCTTCATCACTTTCAGTTTTGCACTCCAATTAGGGGTGACAGCAGCCTAATGAGAGAGAAGGTTTATCAGAGGCTTGTGGTTCTAAAACAACACCACCACAACACATATTATAAAATGTGGATGGAGGAGTAAAGAGTGTAATGCTTTCCACTCACTAAATAACTATCTGCTAGGATAAAATGAAACGACACTTGAACATACAATAGCTGCTTTGGCTAAACATCAGAATTATTTTCATATGGAGGTCATTAAA